GAGAAAAACTTGTTTTCCTTACTTAATTACTTTTATGTAGGAAAACTCATGTCCCTTATGGAAAATCATGATGTTGATGGGTCTCTTGGCTTTATGCGGCATCAGTACAGGTGACAAACCAGTGGGAAGTCAGACAGAATAGTTAATTTACATCTGCAGTATTTTATAAAATTGCTGTTGGGGCAGATAAACACTGTTCTGAGTGGAGAGCATCCAAATACAAATATCTAAACTGTAGTTACTATTATCTTGATGCTGATATATTTGGGTAAGCCATTGTTTAATCTTGAATTGTGTGCTCCCGCAGTACAAGTACTCAGTTTAATTTTTTTTTTTTTTACAAAGTAGACTTTTCCAACATAATGAATTAATTAACACTTAAAATTATGTGAAGCTATAAATTAAGATATGTGGGAGAATTTTCTCTCACCTTTGGTTTCTTCTACAATTATTGCCTTCTGCATTTCTATAAAGAACATCAGCAAGAGGCAGGACTAACGTCTCATCCGTCTTTTATGAAGATTTGAATCAGTTCTACATCAGTAGCATTCAAGATGCTGGAATAGCTGATAATGTTTAGTTTTGCATCCATTCTTTCTATTTTTCCTGCTGTTGGCTTAATTCTTGTGGTTGATTAACTTTTTTGCCATAGTTCTGCTTGGAATAAAATTAACTGAAAAGAGCAGAAACAGGCTATGTTTTTCAGGTTAATTTTAATCTTTACGAGTTTGGTGTATAAATGATGTCCCAAAGGTAGGATAGTGCAGTGGAAGGGAGGGGATTATTATACATTTTATCATAAAGTCTTACTTTGCACTAATTTTAAAAACATTTATATGTTTTGGCTGTGAGGTCTGACAAGGTATATTTTGGTTTGTAGCCATTAAAAATTATTTTGGGCTGTTTATAACAAACACTAACATTAGTAAGTGACATGAGAATTTTTTTTTCCATATAAAAGAAGTCTGTAAGTAGAGTAGTTCAGGGCTTGTATGGCAGCTCCATAGTCATCTGGGACTTCTAACTTTGTTTAACCAAATCTAATATATGACTTCCATATGGAGGTTGCCTCATGGTTATTGAATGGTTCCTGGAGTTCTGGCCATGGTATCACATCCAGGCAAGAAAAAGGAAAGGAAAAAAACCAAGAGTGTACCTCTCAACTGAGTCAGCCCCATTTATTTAAAGCTCAAAGAAGGCTGGAAAATGTAGTTTTTTCAGTGAGAAAAGTATGGATTCAAATAAATGTTTGATTGTTTTAATAAGGAAGGGGAAGGTGGATATTTGTGTAGAAAGTTAGCTGCCTCTTCCACATTGTCTGATTAAATGAGGTTCTCTGGGTGAGATTTGTTAAATGTAGCCCATACCATTCCTGTACATTCCTCAGGTTTGTCAGTTAGATGCTTTTGCACAGTAATTCACATTTATGAACCCATTATCCCAGCCTATAGCAGAACGGGATATACATTTTCAGACTGAATGTCACAAGATGGAATTCGTACTTAGGTTATGTATATTTAAGCCCTAAATTTAGAAATGTAATTGAAATACATAGTCACATAGTTTAGGATAAAGGGGAAAGCTAGCTTGCTTTTTTTTTTTTTTTTAAGATTTTATTTATTTAACAGAGAGAGAGAGCACAAGCAGGGGGAGCAGTAGAGGGAGAGGGAGAAGCAGTCTCCCCGCTGAGCAGGGAACCCAATGCAGGTCTTGATCCCAGGACCCTGGGATCATGACATGAGCCAAAGGCAGACGCTTAACCATCTGAGCCACCCAGGCACCCCTTGCTTGCTTTCTTAATAAAAGTCTGTGTATAATTGAAATCTGCAAAACGCTGCTCAAAAAAAATTAAAGAAGACCTAAATAAATGGAGAGACATCCTGGGCAAAGGGCTTAGAAGACTTAATATTGTTAAGATGTTGATACTAACTACTGAAAGCAATCTACTGATTTAATGCAGTCCCTATCAGATTTCTCCTGCCATTTGTGTATAAATGAAAGAGCCGATTCTAAATTGCAAAAGCCAGAACAGTCTTGAAAAAGAAAAATAGGGCACCTGGGTGGCTCAGTTGGTTTTGCATCTGCCTTCGGTTCAGGTCATGAACCCAGGGTCCTGGGATCGAGCCTCACATTGGGCTCCTTACTCAGTGGGGAGCCTGCTTCTCCCCCCGCCCCAACCCGCTCATGCTCACTCTCTCTCTCTCTGACAAATAAATAAATAATTAATTTAAAAAAAAAAAAAAAAGGAGGACACACACTTCCTGATTTCAAAATTTATTACAAAGCTACAGTAATCAGAACAATGATAGACCTATAGACCACTGGAATAGAATAGGGAATCCATAAGGTAAATCCACATATCTATTGACAATTGATTTTCTTTTTTAAAAATTTTTTTAAAGATTTATTTATTTTAGGGGCGCCTGGGTGGCTCAGATGGTTAAGCGTCTGCCTTCGGCTCAGGTCATGATCCCAGGGTTCTGGGATCGAGTCCCGCATTGGGCTCCCTGCTAGGCGGGGAGCCTGCTTCTCCCTCTGCCTCTGCCTCTCTCTCTCTCTCTCTGACTTTCATGAATAAAAAAAAAAGATTTATTTATTTTAGAGAGTGTGCGAGCATGCCCTTGTGCACAAAGTGGGGGAGGGGCACAGGGAGAGAGAAATTCATGCAGACTCCCCACTGAGCATGAAGCCCAATGCAGGGCTAGATCCCAGGACCCTGAGATCGTGACCCAAGCCTAAATCAAGGGTCGTACACTCAACAGACTGAGCCACCCAGGCACCGGACAATTGATTTTCAATAAAAACACCAGGCTCAACCTACATAATGGGAGGAAATATTTGAAAATTACATATCTGAGAAGGGTTTAATATCTAGGATCTATAAAGAACTCTTGCATATCAATAATAAAATGACAAATTTAAAAATGGGCAAAGGACTTGAATAGACATTTATTCAGAGAGGTTGTACAATGGCCAGTAAGCACATGAAAAGATGCTTAACATTATTAGTCATTAGAGAACTGCAAATCAAAATCACGAAAAGATTCCACTTCCTACCTACTAGGATGAGTATTATATATAAAAAGAGAGAATACCAAATTCTGGCAAGAATGTGGAAAAATTGGAACCTTCATGTATTGCTATTGGAAATTTAAAGTCATGCAGCTACTATGGAAGCCAGTGTGGCATTTCCTCACAAAGTTTAAGTAGAATTATCATATGGCCTAGCAGTTCTACTAGTATATACTGAAGAATTCAGTATAGGAACTCACAGCAGCCAAAAGGTGGAAACAACCCAAATGTCCATTAATAGATGAATGAAAAAAGAAATTGTGGGCTATCCATACATTCTGATAAGTTATTGCTTAATGGGTACAGTTTCTGTTTGAGGTTATAAAAAAGCTTTAAAAATAATGTTGACAGTTATACATCTTTGTGGATATAATCAATGCCATTGAATTGTACATTTAATGTGGTTACATTTTATTTTTTTAAAGATTTTATTTAAGAGAGAGAGTGAGCACATGAGTGGGGGGAAGGGGTAGAGAAAGAGAGAGAGAGAGAAGCAGACTTCCCATGAAGCAGGGAGCCCAATGCAGGGCTCGATCCCAGGACCCTGGGATCATGACCTGAGCCAAAGGCAACTGCCTAACCAACTGAGCCACCCAGGTGCCCAAAAATGTCACATTTTATGATATTTGTTTTACCACAATTTAAAAATAAAATCTTTTTTTTTTTTTTTTAAGATTTTATTTATCTATTAGAGAGAGAATGAGAGACAGAGAGCATGAGAGGGAGGAGGGTCAGAGGGAGAAGCAGACTCCCTGCCGAGCAGGGAGCCCGATGCGGGACTTGATCCCGGGACTCCAGGATCATGACCTGAGCAGAAGGCAGTCGCTTAACCAACTGAGCCACCCAGGCGCCCAAAAATAAAATCTATCTTAAAAAAATATATCAGTGTCAGTGTAGGTTCATCAGCTGTAACAAATGTACCAGTTTGGCAGGGGATGTTAACAATAGGGCGTGTTAATGCCTATGTGGGGGTAAGGGAGTATATGGAAAATCTCTGCACCTTTCAGTTTCGCTATGAACCTAAAACTACTCCCAAAAAATAGTATTTTAAAAAATGGTTAAGATGGTTAATTTTATTATGTGTATTTTATCACAACTTAAATATATATAATAAATATATATTATAATCATTATATTTTGGAAAGAGCTGGACTTTTACTCCCAACTCCACAGCAGAAGCTTTGTTCCCCTGGACAAGTTTTTTAACTTCTCTGAACCCCACTATTGTTTTTTGGGGTTTTTTTGTTTTTGTTTTTAAAGATTTTTATTTATTTATCAGAGAGAGAGAGAGAGAGAGTGTGTGCACAAACGGGGGTGGGGGTGGGGCAGAGGGAGAAGCAGGCTCCCCACTGAGCAAGGAGCCCTGTGTGGGACTTGATGCCAGGATCCTGAGATCATGACCTGAACCGAAGGCAGACGCTTAACCAGCTAAGCTACCCACGCATCCCTGAACCCCAATATTGTTAAAATGATAAAAATAAGAATGGCAGTAGCTACCTTGCAGAGATGTATGAGGATTAGAGATGATCGAGTAAAAGGCCTAAAAGAATTCTTTAGCACACGTGCTCAGTAGGTGGAAACCATTATCACTGAAAATTTTGTTCATTCGTATTTGGCTATGATGTGTTTTTGTGTTTAATTCATTATTTCTCTTACAATCATAATTACCATTTGAACCCTGAACTGCTATTAAACTATTATTATGTTTTCAATTTATTTATTTATTTATTTATTTGAGAGAGCGCATGCATGGGGGGAGGGGCAGAGGGAGAGGCCGACTCCTGCTGAGCAGGGAGCCCCATGCGGGGCTTGAGATAGGGACCTGAGCTGAAGGCAGATGCCTAATCGACTGAGCCACCCAAGTACCTCCTAAACTATTATTATTTTTATTTTATTTTTTAACTTCCTTGTTTTATTCTCTTTTACAGGCAACAATTGGTATTGACTTTTTATCAAAAACAATGTACTTGGAGGATCGAACAGTGAGTAATGTTTTCAGTGTGCAATTTTCTGCAACACTCCAGGATAGAAAACTATGATCAAAGCTATAATTGATGATTGTCACCATAAGAAGCTCTTAGCAAAGTAGAGAAAGTTAGTTTACAGGCTTTGAGAAAAACTATTATTAACAGAGTGGTAGTACTTAGCATTCTGGCTTAATCCCTAAGTAAAATCCAAAGAGGAGAGAAAGCCAAGTTGTTTGGAAAATACTGAATGCCCTAGGCTTGCTAAACAAAATTTGTCGCCCTGATTTGGAAAAATGATAACAAATAGCATTGAGATAATGAAAAGTGTGTTTTCATAAAGAAATTAGAGCTGCTAAAGACCTTTTGAGTGCTACTCTTGAGGCATTAAAAAATATCTCATTTGAATATCACATAATTTGTGAATTTCAAAATTTTATTTGTCAGAATATGATGAATACCAAAGTGACAGTAACTAGGTAGAGGTAGTGTGTATTTATTTGTTGGATTTAGATGCCTATCTTTTGGAATGCTCCCTTTAAGCATAGTATAAATTCTGTATTCTAGCCCACTGTCCCTGGAAGAGATTCCTATCAACTAAACAGTGACTGTCTTATTAAATGTAATATTTCAGGACCTATACCCCCCAAAAATTATTGTATCTCTAATGCTTTTTCATATAAGTGTGTAAGTTTTTCTTTTGGATGTTCTCTTTTATGTTTTAATACACAGCATGTCGTTTCTTAAATTTTCAAAGCTTAGAAATTGCTTTATAATGGTAAGATAACTGAATGCTTATTTTCAGGCTTTTCTTCCTCAAATATAGATATGAAAAAGTAAGAAAATAACATTTTTATGTAGTGTTGCGAAAAGATATTTCTCCTTTTTTGTTAGGTTATATACAATGTTCTGGGAAGAAACATGTAGGAGAAACATACGCACAGTAGTCAGAGACCCAATTTCACAGTGTTCTGGATCCAATAAAAAAGAGACAAATTCTAGCTTCAGAGAGGTTTTCAGAGAAGCATTCATTCCTTTACTCTGATAGCCGGGGCTGCTCATTGGCATTTACCTTCATTTTTCCCTTTTATGCTCACTATTTGAACATCAACACAGTCTACTTTTTGCTATCCGGAAGGCATAAGATCCAAAGAGATGTTATAGGGAGTAAAAAAAAGCTATATTTCTGATTCTGTGAAATCTTTCACATTGCCATATTTAAGTCACATACCTTCAGAGCAAGCAAATTTTTAATATACTCCCTTTTGAAAAAGGAAAGGAATTTTGTATTATTTTCAATCCTCACATCCCTGCAACCTTTTGCATGAGTCTGCTTTTTACCTTCTTCCCACCTTCCCCCTTTTAAAAACATTATTTCTTTTTTCTTTTTAGTATGAGTTTGGTTTTTTTTTTTTTTATTTATTTTTTCCCATCCCACAGATCAGGCTGCAGCTTTGGGATACTGCGGGTCAGGAACGTTTCCGTAGCCTCATTCCCAGTTACATCCGTGATTCTGCTGCAGCCGTAGTAGTTTACGATATCACAAGTAGGTATTTTGCAACGGGTTGACCTTTCTTATTTTTCTTGCTTGTTTGACTGATTTTGTTAGGTACGATTGCAATTATGGGACACAGCAGGTCAAGAGCGGTTCAGGAGCTTGATTCCTAGCTACATTCGTGACTCCACTGTGGCAGTTGTTGTTTATGATATCACAAGTGAGTGGGGGGAATTACGCATTTCTAATCTTTCAACCTTTAGCTTAGCTGCATGCATGTTCTTGTCTTGTGCTTGTTTTCTATACTAGCATGTAAAAATGAGTTTTGTCATAGTAAACCTTATCATATACCAGTTAGGTCAGAAATATTTGCTTTGGTGCTTGTACCAACATGCTTTATTTCCACTGTGCCAGATTTTTTTTGCCCTGGAAATTTTCCTTCAGATCTAATTATGGATCCTCTCCAAGGCTTTCTTAGTATCCTGTTATCCCTAAGTCACACCGTAATTATGGTTGGAAGAATGTCTCCTTTTTCATTTAACTTGATCTCAGATTTCTCTAAAATAAAATAATCTGCATTTAAGCCTCTTGCCAAAATTTTCAAATCCTCCAAGGCTTTCTGTTGAGGCTATTAAAAGCTTCCGCTAGCCAACTTTTCTCTGCTTTCCACTTCCAGCCATCCTCTCTCTATAGAGGAAGGCAGAGAAAACATATAATGTGCAGTTTTCTATTAATCATTTTCATTTGAATCACATCTGGATTCTGTGACTGACTGACTTTGTTGCTAACAAATTACTTTCATTTCTCTCCAAGAAGAAATTTTAAATAGGAGATTGAAACAAGTAATGATCTTCCTTTTTCTTTTCCCTAAAGACTAAATAAGGTCTTTGGCATTTTAAGTGCCTGTAAATTTTCCACAGAATATGGTGACTGACAGAGAAATGCTCTCTGATTAAAATTGTCTTTGTAAATTGGTTTATTATATACATTAGGCAATATTAAGCCTTATCATTCCATATAGTGGTCCATAATTTGTAGGAAAACCAGAATAATGTTACATCTTAAACTTACTTTAAAGAGAATCTTACATAAACTATTGGTTTGAGCTAGTGATATTCTTACTGTACATTTTTGCATATGTGCTCAACCAGAAGTCGTATCTACTTAATAATTGCTATGGCAGAATTGTAAGTTTGCATTCAGAGACCTTTTTTGGGGGGGTGGGTTAGGTGCTATATGCAATCTTTCTTTTCTTAAAGCTTTACTTTGGGTTGCTACTTGTTTAAAAAATGTGTATGTTCATTATTGTGCATTGACAAGTTTTGCAGCTTTAAAATGTTTGTGCTTACTTTAACCAAATCAAATGAAACCTCGTGTATTTTTCTTTAAAAATTGTGTACATGTGGTTAAAACATTAGTATACTGTTTTCTGGAGCTGCTGTAAAAAATACTGAAGTATTCTACTTAGAATGCACTGCTAGGAAAGATGGATTTTGTTACAAGTGATTCTGGTGCATTAAACTAATGAACTTCAAGTTAAAGTGATCACAAACTGAACAAGCAATGCAAACAAAGTGGTGTTGAAAGCTATGTAAAGGCTTTATAATTTTCTGGATGTGTTGGGATTTACTGGCTGACCTACTTTTGGAGATGCTTTCTTTGTTATGCTGGGTATGTGTAAGTAATCAAAAAAAACATTGTGGCAATGTGACACCATATTATCTGTCATAGCTGTCCTTGCATTTTAAAAAGGTCCCCCCCCCAATTACATATGGTACGTTGCACTCATTTGGTCATGTCCAAAAATTTTAAACTACTATAAAAGGAACCTTGAGTACTTTATTCTTTTGATTTGTTTATATCACTGACAGTTGTACTCAGATAAAATGGAGTCATGTTGCAGGCACATTAAAAGTGGATCCTAATGTGCCACCCCCTCCCCAACTTCCAGGATTTGTTTTTTGTTGTTGTTGTTGTTGTTTGGTTTATCACTTGGGGAAGCTTTGCAGTAACACTAATCTCTCTGTCCACCCTCCTATACCAGATGTTAACTCATTCCAGCAAACTACAAAATGGATTGATGATGTCAGAACAGAAAGAGGAAGTGATGTTATCATCATGCTAGTAGGAAATAAAACAGATCTTGCTGACAAAAGGTATAGAGTGATTTTGTATATGTATCAAATATTTGATATCTTTGTTAAGCAGTCTGTTATTTTTATTACTGAAGAATTGTTTTGAAAGGAAACATGTTTAATTCTTAAGTTTATACTCCCCTTTTCTTTAGTGTGAGAACCTGAAATATAAATGTAAACATTAAACTCAGTCCTTAAAGGAAAATGAGTTTTTTTGTTTTGTGTAAGCCCATGTGTAAATAGCTTTTGTGCAAAATTGTTTACACATGGGGGAAAAGAAGATTGTTTATACATGAAGCTGGTAACTATTTTGCATTTTTTAGGCCTCATAAACATGGGCACTATTCTGTTAAAGAACAAAATGTTTTAAGAACAAATCCTGTCCTTAAAAATTATTCATAATGATTAAATGCACACTCTTTTGGTAGTCTTCTTATAAATATTCATTATAATTCAGTGGTGCAGTTTTTCTTTCCTTTTTTTAAATTGTATGGTTGAACCAGACTGTGTAGTTGAACTGAATAGCTTGATTGTGATACCTTAGTCAAATGAGCAAAGCCATATTCAAGTCACAGGATACAAAATTATTAACATTCACTGTAGAACCCATGGCTTGAATATCTGCCTTCAGCATCCTAAGTAATCTACTGGATATTCTTTCTGCTTTAAATAGTCTTGACCATTTTACTTAATAGTAGAAGCTTTTACTATTTGCTGTTTGTTTATTCATGAGATGGATATTGAAATTCAGGTATTGAACTTGTACTATTAATTAAAATGTTGCAAAGAAATCCAATATGTTCAAAGGCTTGTGGAAATGTTAAGCCCATTGCTTCCCATGGTACCTCATTTGGAATTGGCAGTAGAATGACAAAAAAAGTCTGTCTTGATTTAAAAGTAAACTCAAGAGTATGATCATCTTTCCTTTATGAAAATACTTGTTTGGACATCAGTTGGCATCATGAGTTTTCACTATTTTATTTATCTCCACTCAGAATTTGTAGATCATGGGACATCTGGGTGGCTCAGTCGGTTAAGCGTCTGCCTTCGGCTCAGGTCATGATCCCAGGGTCCTGGGATCAAGTCCCACATCGAGTCCCGCATCAGGCTCCTTGCTCAGCGAGGAGCCTGCTTCTCCCTCTGCCTGCCACTCCCGCTGCTTGTGCTTTCTCTCTCTCTCTAATAAATAAATACAATCTTTTTTTTTTTAAAAAAGAATTTATAGATCATGTAGGTATATATTCTTCTAGTAGAGTCCCTAGTACTTTCATTTTTAAATAGGAAAATTGTATATCTGAATTGCTTTCTGTTATAATAGCGAGAGTTGTCTAAAAGGATGCATATAGCATCTGTTCTTTTATTGTGTCATATTTCAGTTGAGTACATAAATGCTAGAAACTTACCTCAATTATACATAAAGTGATTTTTTTTCTTCAAGGTAGTATTTGTCCATTGGTTTGGAATTACTGTGTTTCTCAGCAAGTTTTGCCAGACTGTCATCCTTTAATTTTAAAATGAGTAAAAGATTTAAAGGTTTGTTAAATAAGCATTAGAAGAAAAATTTTTTGGTAGTAGGTAGGTGGCCTTTTATAAGCATGACATGAAATCCTAAAGCCATAAAGAGAAAGATTGGTTTAAGTCTGAATATATAAATATAAAGATCATATTCACCAATTAGATCAGCCATTATTCAGAAGATTGATAATGCACAGTATTGTCAAGAATCTAAATAAGAACTACAATGGAATATTATGCAGCCATCAAAAAACACAAAATCTTGCCATTTGCAACGACATGGATGGAACTAGAGGGTATTATGCTAAGTGAAATAAGTCAGTCAGAGAAAGACAAGTATCATATGATCTCACTGATAGAGGAATTTGAGAAACAAGACAGGATTGTAGGGGAAGGGAGGGAAAAATGAAACAAGACGAAACCAGAGAGGGAGACAAACAATAAGAGACTCTTAATCTCAGGAAACAAACTGAGGGTTGCTGGAGTGG